GCTGGGAGTGCTGGTGGCGTAGAATCTGAGTAGAGAGTCCACATATCCTGATAGTCCTTCAGTGAGAGTGCCAATTCCAGAGATGATGGGGCGTCATCCTCCCTGATTGAATTAACCTCGTTATCTCCAGACTGATTCTTGCCTGCATATTTATACCTGCCTCTGGAAATTTCCATTGCATGCGTCTGACGAAGTGGGTATTCACCCATGAAGGCTTAAGCTCCAATACATCTGTTAGTCTATAACATGCCACAGAACTCTTTGTTGCTTTTTACAGATCCAGACTAACATGGCTACCCGTCTGATACTTGATTACAGGTAATATCTCATCCTCAAAGATGTTCCAATAAGCTTCTTTTACAGACTAGACTCCTTCCTAGTGTGGGCCCAATCCATTCCCCTTGTACAGTCTTTGTGAGATCCAGCAGACGTTTCAGGTGCTAAGCAGGGGTTTTCTCATGACTGGCCACACCCTTTGTCCTGCTGCACCCCTTTTTTTAGTGTTGGCACAAGGCGGGAATCTTTTGTCTGTGCTTATCCCCACCCCCGCCTCATCAATGGTAAAGTACATGGATTAAGATGGATTCCAGTATCATGTGACATGGTCATATGTCACTGTAAGATCCCTAGTCTCCATTCTTCCTGGGTTCCCCCACCCTGCCTGCCTGGCGATCTTGCTGGGGAGTGGAGTTCGGGTGCAGGGGCACCCATTTTTCTGGGGCCCCTGGGCAAAGGACCCATCTGTCCAGTGGCTAATCTGCCACTGCTCCAGTCCAAACCTGTATGTCTACATAGGAATTTTACAGCCCCGCAGCCAGAGGCCCACAAGCCTGAATGAGCTGACCTGAGCCAGCCGTGGGTTTTTAGCTGCTGTGTAGACATACACAGAGTGTCACAGCTAAGTACAAGGTGGAACAGATTGTTTAGCATAAGTAGTTAACACAGATTTCAAGGGACCATTCAAAATGAAGGGGCCCATAAACACCTGGCAAGTGATGGGTGGTGAGGGTAGGTTAATGGGTTATAGATTGTTGTAATAAGCCATAAATCTAGTGACTCCACTCAATGTGCAGTGGCAGTCAAAAAAGCAAACAGAATGTTGGGAATCATTAAGAAAGGGATACATAATAAAACAGAAAATATCATATTGCCTCTATATAAATCCATGGTATGCCCACATCTTGAATACTGCATGCTGATATGGTCACCCCATCTTAAAAAAGATATATTGGATTTGGAAAAGGTTCAGAAAAGGGCAACAAAATGTTTAGGGATATGGAACGGCTTCCATCTGAGGAGAGATGAATAAGACTGGAACTTTTCAGCTTGGAAAAGAGGCGACTAAGGGGGGATATGATAGAGGTCTATAAAATCATGACTGGTGTGGAGAAAGTAAATAAGGAAATGTTATTTACTCCTTCTCATAACACATGAACTAGGGGTCACCAAATTAAATTAATAGGCAGCAGGTTTAAAACAAACAAAAGGAAGTATTTTTTCACACAATGCACAGTCAACAAGGACCAGAGGATATTGTGAA